TCCAAAATTCCTCTGAAACAAAACACAACCAAAAGAAAGACACCATCAGAAAAGGGAAAGTCAAGCTGATTTACATATTTGTATTGTTTTGGCTGTCAGAAGGCTCATTAACAGGAGAGAACAGACATTATTTAATAGATTATTGAGGTAGTATATATTTCTGCACTATTACTGATGACTGTGTAAAATAGATCATTGAATTAAAGATACTAATAATAAATTTAATAACATATAACTGCAAAGATAAATATCAGACAAACATTTTAAAATTTAAAATTTATGGCAAATGCAAGATTCCAACTTCGCTAGTTTTCCCTGAATACAGAAAAGATTGGCAAAACTAGAACTGCAGTTTAAAGCTGGTGTCAAACACAATGACACAGATTCCAAATTCGCCAATATTGCTTTAAAATTGAGGTACAAGACTTTTTCTTTGATTTAAGGCCTTCAGCTGCTGCAAAGTCTATTAAACTTTCAGTCATAAAAATCCAACCCAGGACCCCCCTGCTCACCCTTTTCAGGACCTTTATATTAAAACACAGGTGAGAAACTGTCTCAAGAACCCACCTGAGGGGCTGCACGCCTTGAAGGTGGGCCTGGCTATCTTGTTTACAAAACAATAAACTATTTTCAGCAACCTATTTTTAATATGGAAGTTTAATATGGAACTTTCACTGGTAAGCACTTCTGTTTATTAAAGTCAGACACTATAAAAATCTATCCTTATATAAATATTGTTTATTAAGCATTGCATTATTCATGTAGTCCTACAGGAAAAAATTACAGCAAAGCTAGAAATTCTATCCATATCTTGTGAGCATTTATAGAATTTAGCTGCTGTTTTAAATAACAGACAAGGAAAGAATTTGCATCTAGGAATTTTGGAAATCAATGGTGTATACCAAGAAAATTCTTCTCATTATAGTCTTAACATCACCCTCGATTAAGGAAAATATTGTTGAATTTACATTGGATCTGGCTCCAGGTGAATATCAAGTCACACAGATTTAGGTGAGAGTGCTCTTCAAGAACCAACAGTGGTGTGGACATCCTTCATCACATTCCAGGCAATCCAGAAAATACCAAATGCCTTTTCTTCTTGTTGGGGCTGTGTCAGAGAGGTACCTTCAAGGGTCTCTGTTCAGCTGTCACAGCCTCCCTTCTCCAAGGTCTCAGAAACCACAGCTCCCAGTAAAAGGTGTGTGCTTATCACACAGCCCCTGGCTCCAGAGCCACAGGAATAGAGGGATGCCCACTCTGGGCTGTAGGAACAGCACTGGAGCTGCAAACCCTTCTCTGGATGTTGTAGTTGTTAAGTATGGGCTACCCTACACTGGTCAGCACTCGACTAGAAATCAGCACAGAAAAGATGAAAAATCCATGGCCTTCTTTATGCAAAACAGCCCTGGTATTGGCAAAAACAGTGCCAATCACTGACATCCAAAATTAGCAAGATCCCCTTAACACCCATGTCTTCTGGCTGGACATTTTAAGGGCTTTGACAATGAGAAAATATTAAACAAGTCCCCTCCTTGTCTGCTCTGAAGGGAATAAGGAGCTCCTTAATGCAGTGAGAGAAGCCATGGAGGAAGTGAGCCAGAGAAAGCTACATCAGACATAAATAGACATCCACTTTAAAGTAACACAAAAGTTATTACCTCTTTTAATATCCTACTGCAGCTTACCCTACTAGGGCAGGAAAATCTATACAGCCTAACAAAGGATGCCAGATGGAAAATTCCACTGAGCTTAATTAGCTCACTGCTATTCCTGGATGACTGATACTGATGCAACTGCAAGATGAAGATTTTTTTTTTTCTTTTTCCTAACACGCATTTTTACTTTATTTCTTTAAGGTGTAATTTTTGCTCAATGTAAAAAAAAAAAAAAAAAAGTACAAGACAGGAAGCAGTGCTTTGATTTCAGCTGAGAAAACTAAAATAAACATTATTTTCTCAGGCTACAGTGAATACTTAAATGAGCAGGCTGGTATTTTTTTGTGGCTGTATCACATATAATAGTTTCATATGTTTTAGACGAAATTAGAAGATAAACAGTGAAATTCAATAGTAAAGAGATTAGAGCCAGACAGACATTTACATGGGGGTTGCATGGCCAGGTTTTGGCAACCTGTGGGAAGGACCCCACCCTAGAGAAAGGGAAGAGTGTGAGGAGTCCTCACCTCTGGAGGAAGAAGCAGCAGAAGCAAAGTGTGATGAACTGAGCACAACACTAATTCCCTGCCCCCTGTGCTGCTGGGAAGGAGGAGGCAGAAAAAAAACGAGAGTGAAGTTGAACCTGCAAAGAACCCTTCTTCTCTGGGAAGACTGGGGGAAGGTTTTTATTAAGGTTCTGACTGTCCTACTCTGATTTAATTGATAATAAATTCAGTTAATTTCCTCAAGTCAAATCTGTTCTGCCCATGATGGCAATTGCTGCATGATCTCTCCCCCTCCTTATCCTTGTTTTGTTTTCTCTCCTCTGCCCAGCTGAGGAGGGCACCTGGTATAGTATCAGAATCAACCTGCCACAACACATGAGCAAAGCTGAATGTCTAGAGAATGTTCAGAACCTGAAAAAGAATACTGCTTGAAAATAGTGATTAATAAAACCAAAATTAAGAGAGTGAAGAAAATTTTAAAAATAAAACCAAAGTCTTATGAAGTTCATACAAAGATCAAATGAGGCAGCCTCACTCAAGTAGAGAAAAGAGCAGACAAATCAGCTAGATTCCCAAGGATTAGGATGAAGGCATTTTATTTTTAGTCTGTGAAAGGTTAAATAATGTTCCCTTCTACCCCTAGCAAAAACATACCACACAGAAAGGCTTGCCCAGGTTAATCTGAAATCAGAAAAAAAAAGCTCAATTCCAGCACCAAAATACACTTCACTTTGGCTTTGTTCTTCCTGTTTTAAAATTAAATCTTCTCATTCATGTTCAGGGTAAAAAGCCCAACACACAAAAGACATTTTGTTACTGATTTTTCTTTAGCTACCAAAATTAAGAACAATGTGGCCCAAAACACTTAGCATGCTGTCAGCTCACTGTATCAGAAGTTACACCTAAGTGTGCAGAGTGTGAAACCAAACAACTGCATCCCACTGCCAGAGTGTCTCAGGAAGAAGACACAGTCACCATTCCTTGCTGTTGGTACCCTCAAGAAGACTCAGTGAGTCTCACATTTTCTGTCACAAGGGGGTGATTCTGATGTCACCTAAATCGTCCTTGAATTTTCTATGAAAATCCAGATAATTCTCAAACAAACTTTCGCTTGAAGGCATTCTATGTTCTACCAAAACAAAGGCCATAAAACAAATAAGATAGGAACAGACTTTCTGCCTTCTCCATCATGAAAATTTCCAGAAAACTGTATTTTCCACAGAAAATCTCAATGTGACTTACATGCATGTGATTTTCTAGGCTGGGAGATACACTACCTCCATCAAGTAGCTAACCACAAAAATGTTTCCCAATTCTTCCCCTACCACAGTTTCAAGTGGAACCTTTCACTGATGAAATTTACTTTACCACATCCATTAAAAAAATCTATGTGTGTACAAACAACTGAAGTTGTTGGGATAATCCCCTCAAGGTTACACATAGCCATGGAGAATTCTGTATTTAGGACTGAGCAGACAGGACTCCTATGATCTATCCCCTTGTAACACGGTGGTGTGGAACTGATGCTAAAGGAAACAGCTGCTCATATCTGTCCCCCACTGCACAAGATGCCTGAGACAGCAGCTGGCGGAAGTGCAGGGACAAAGAGCAACTTCTTCTGAAGGGAAAGCCAAGTCTGAAACTCAGCTTGGGGAAAAAGGACGGAGAGATGGAAGAATGGGAATGCTGTGGTGAGAAAGGGGAAGCAACAGATGAAAAGGCAAGGGCAGAAAGTAGACTTAGACCTATTGTGGAAGAAATTCTGCTGCATAGATTGTACAGAAATTCAGGAACAGGGCAAAACAGGGAATAGGGAGAAAGAGAAATGGGAACTCTGAGAAGAACCAAAATGAGAAACAAATATACAGAAAGTGTTCATACTCCATAGGAACAGATCTGAAGAACCAGGTAAAACAGTATTTACTTGTGATGAGGAGTTCTGACACAGCCCAATACTGCAGGCAATAAATAATGTTAACAGAAACAGAAAAATTCAGTTCATTAATGAAAGAACAAAGTATCACAACAATGCTATACACAGGCAACCTTTATTCTGACACTTCTTAACTTCTGAAAGCTAACCACAGCAACTTAATAAAGTTACTTCAAGGTAAATTCTGCCATGTTTGTAATTTTTTAAAAAACATTTTCTCACATACTTTTCTACAATTAGCAAGGATAAAGTAACAGGACTCTGAGTAATTAGAAGAAAAATTCTAATTAAAGACTGTGGAGACAGGGATAGAAAGAAGAATAGCATCTTAAGAGAAAGAAGAGATCCTATACATTTCATTAGTAAGGGCACATGAAACTATCTCTTATCTGCAACCAAAAAGCACAAAGGCTAAAAAGAAATAATGAAAACTATTCCATTAAATACCCAGCAAGTCTATCACTTGTGAAAAATTAAAAATCTGGATTTGACAAACAGAAGCAGCTATTTGACCTGAAGTCTGGTCCACATCTAATCAATCTACAAAACAGTCTGGATTCTCAGACAATGTAGAGTTTCAGACACTTTGAAATCTTGATATTTGATCCTCTATCTGAAAGGTTTTATAAATTCAAGTTAATAAAATTACCAGAACATGGTATTTTTCACAGTGCTTTGCCATTACCTTAGAAACAGTAAACAAAACACCAAAGTTGACTTAATCCACAAAAGGAAAAGTGTGATTTAGCACTGTAAAATATTTTTGGATAAAAACTCCCCAAATCTATGCAGTGATGAAGAGGAAAACATTTGCACGGCTTTCAACAGCATTAATTAACATTTTAAAAATTACCAATGTGTGAATAACTCCAAATATCTAACTCTGAATATGTGCAAGTCTCTTACCAGCTACTGGTAAATCCAGCTTTGCTCGTTTCAATTCTGATATAGAATTTTGGAGCTGCTCTATTACAAAGTCATCTTCATAGAAGAAATCCTTGGCTAAAGACTCCTGCAGAAATTCTACAAGCTCTTCCATTTGTAATTTCATCAGATGCTCTATATAAGGAGAAAATATCACATTATACATTAAGATATCTTGATAATGAACACTCAAAAATGTACTTTAGTCATGAGGTGCTTTTGTTTCCAAAGCAGAATGAAAAACACTTGTTAATTAGGCAGACAACAGATTTCTAAAACCAGAGGACTATAAATACATTAAAAATTCACTTGCAAGTCATCACGAAAATCCTTTATACACATTATTGCTTACTTAGGATGGTGTTTTACAAAAAGGGGCATCTTCACAAAAATAACTACAAGTCACCCTCCTTCAGCCTTCTCATGTCCAACAGCTTCAGCTCTTTATTTGTCAGCCTGCATCCTCAACTTAAACTACTGCTGTGGATCTGTACAACATACATCATCTCTCTTATTAGGAGCTCTGAAAAGCAGAAAAACATTTTAAAAAATGCTATTTACAGTACCCTCATTCACAACTGAATTAACTCCCACTGAAATGATGATGGCAGTTCACACTTCAGAACCGCTGCTTCAGGCTCTCTGAAAATTCAGGTCATATTTTGAAAGTCATTTTACAGTTATCAGATTTTTTTTTCTTTCCCTTTTCACACAGCAGTAAGGCCATGTGGATGGCAAGGCTGTAACTGAATACCTATGTTCTCTTTTTTCATCATTTGTATGTCATCAAAAGTTTTAGATGTATAATTTCAATATGGAAACCATAAAAAGATGTTTTGGTGCTGTAATAAAATGCATTGGCATGTATTCCACAATGACACTGACAGAATAGCTATACCATGCATGTTTTTGAGGGTAGACAAGAAACTGGAAAACAAATCAGAATCTGTCTTCTGCCAGCCCTCTCATCTCCTCTGTTGCCGTGAGGTTCTCTCAGTGTTTGATCATGGAGGAAGCTGCTGTGTACTTGCTAAGCAAGCAAATCCACACTCAGAATTTTTCCTCAGGTCTTCCCATTAAAATAGTGGTGAATTAAAAAAAAAAAAAAATCAAGCAGATATCTATTTGAAAATAAGGAAAAGAAACCAAAATGTTAAGCCTAATGATTTGCCTCTAAATGTTTTGCTTTCTCAAGTGCAATAATGTAGAAGGTAACCTGTTCCATTTTTCAAAGTTGTTTATGAACAAACTAATGAAAACATCCCAGTGAGACAGTGAGGTAGCATCACCACAGTTCAAGAAGGATAAACTAGCAAGGAAATTACAATATTGATTCTAAGGGCTCCACACAGACCTCTGCATTTGCAGGGAGTCAAATGACTTCACTCAGAAAGCCAAAGTCCCACAGGAGTGTCTCAGAGTTGAGCTATAAGGTGTCATCATCCTTAGAAATGCTCAAATCCATTTAGAAGCCAACATCCACCCTCAAAAGCTTTTCGGGTCCGTGGAACTTAGGATGCCAAATCGCTTTGGGGAACCAGGCATAGATGCTTTAGACAGTTCTGTTCAAAATCTCAAATTTTACTTCACCCAAAATCAAGAGATGAAGGAGAAGGTCACACAGGCAGGCTAGAGAAATTCTGGATTTTAATTACATTCTTGACAAAACATGGTATAAAATGACACAGACTGGTGATTCCTTTTTGCTGAGGTATTTGCAGGTAGATTTTCAGCACTTAGTGGCACAGTCTTGATTCTTTGTGTGCTTTTTAAATTTGAACCCTACGGGGGCTAAGAAGCCATTTCCAGACCGTGAAACTACCACAATTTTACCCATTGTTTAGTCAGTAATACAACTGAGTTGATGTCAATATAACTTCCTTACTCTAATAAATATTTCTGTTTACAATACAATCACACTGCATTGGGCCCAGCTGAGATGGAGTTAATTTTCCCCACAGTTGCCTCACAGTGCTGTGCTGTGCACTGGTCTCCAGAAAGGTCCATCTTGTTTTCTCCTTCCCCCAATCCTGCTGAGGAGGGGAGGGAGAGAGCAGGCACCAGGATCCAGCCAAGATCAACCCACAACACACACACATTAATAAAGTAAAGATTTTAAACTTTTTGTGCATAAGGAATGAAAAAAATATCTGTCAGAAGCAGCATAAGGCACATGAGAAACTAAAATTTTCACACGTTAAGGTCAAACTACAGAAAATGAGAACAAAACTAGCTGAACCTCTGTTTAGGTTTCAAATGTTTGACAGATTTCTTACTTCTGTGCAGTTTCAGAATTGTGTAAGACATAGCAGTGAGAATCCGCTCTCCTTCAAGTATGTAGATATCCCATATCCTGAGGCTTAATGTAAAGGGAGTCTGCAATGACAGAATCAGCAATGCTGTGAAAACAGTCTGCCCCAAGTCACAATTAAAAACAGCAACAGAAAGAAAAACATACTCACACGATCAAGAAAACACTGGAAAAACCACTTGGTTGTGTAAAAGCTGGTGGGCATATCCTGGGAGTCCTGCAAATAACACAGAAGTTGAAAAATACTTTCAAAAATCCAAGTAATGCCTTGCACTCTCCATGAGAAAAACATTTTCCCCTGGAGGCTAATGTACTCTATAGTCACCATAAATAATTAAGTTAACGATATAAGACAGTGTGACTTCAATCCAGCAGATGGAATTTCTGGGGTTTTTTAACTTTTCTTCATCAATTTCACCACCTGAAGAACATGCACTTGGAGGTGCTGAAGCATTAATACATCCTAGACTTCTTTCATGTTCTTGGGACAGAGGTAGCAGAGGATAAAATCCTCTCTCAAGAAAATAAATCGATATTTTGGAGCAACCCAAGTTCAGGCACTAGATCCATTAAGTCTTTAATTTCTCTGTAGCAAGGCTGACAATTCATGCCCAAGGCTAAAAGGACTTACAAAAATACATATCCACCAGAAATGACTGTAAAACAACCAATTTCTTTGACCATTGGGCCTCAAACAGGATGTAGGCTGATAAGGAATTTTATTTCTTGATTAAGGGGCCTAATTTCCTCTAGAGCACAGATAATCCATGAGGTATGACACCCAGTCAAAGACTGCTAAAGCTTCTTTGCAGCTTCATGGAGCTCTTCAAAGTCCTTTGCAAAGTAAGAAGAAAAGCTGAAGCAAAAGCTGAAAAGTTAAGAAATCCTAAATTTTAGCTGTGGGATAACATTAGATTCTATGCTTGCCAGATTCAGCTTTTCCAAAAATTATGGACCAAATTCCAGAACTTAGTTATACAAACACTGAATAAACAATGGGTCAAATCCCTTTGGTTTATGTGCAGGCTTTACTTTTGTCTTTCAGGAGTTAACATGGGCTCATTTTAGTGACACACTCACAGGAAGAGATGAGGAGTGAGCACCTCTTACATAATCTTTTAAGAACTGGAGATGGATTCTGGCAGTACCAATGTACTGTAAAAGGAAATTCTTGATGCCTCCTGGAAGGGCATTTTTCTCCCATTAGAAAATTAATTTACATCTTAGAATACATGTAGTCAATATTTTAAAAAGGGCATATTATTTTCTATTTAAAAGCATTAGAAGAGATAAAAGTCTACATGTAGCTTCATGAAAATAGAAGTATTTTTAAAGGACAGTTAACCCTTCTTTTAAAGGTTATTTTTTTAAACAGAGATTAAATCAGGTTGGTCCTAAAGTCACATCTGTCCAGAGATGAACCACAAAGCTAAACATACAAAAAACCCTGATAAAATGTTCTAACATCAGTTTGCTTACAGAATCTCACACAAGGACAAAGAGAAGAACCACACATCCCCCTTAACTCAGAGGTCCCAAGTGAGACAGACACCCAAACTAATCACTCTTAGGATCCAATTTTATCCTAAGTTTGTCAAGATGCACCATAACTTTGTCTATAATGAAAACAATAGCACTTGTGCCTCTTAAAACTTTGCATTTTTTCCTGAGGTTTGAGTACTCTCGATCTAGTGGATTCACCTGAACTGAAACAAGGTAAAAAGCTGTAAATTAGCATTGCTTGTATAGTGAAATAAATACTTACCAAATGCTGCTTAAGTTTGGACAAAAATTTCTTCAGTATTTTGTCATGGTGTTCCTGAAACCTCAACAGTTTTGGAAAACCAGGAATAAAAAAACCTAAGAAAAGAAGTAGAGCATTTAACAGGTGTTTGTACTATAAAATGACATTTAAAAAGCCATTAAGGCTCCAAGAACATTATCCTTCTATAAGATCACAGGATCTGAACAGATATTCCTTACAATATTTTGATGTCTCTATACAGATGTGCACGTACTTCTGCCTAAATAGCTACAATCAATACATTCCCTCAGTGACAATTATTAGATCAGAATGACAAATGACAGCAGATCCATCAGTCCTACATTAGTCAAACCATGTATGACCATGTGGAAACCACATTTATCATTATTCTTTAAAAGAAAACCAAAACAAAGAATCACAACCCTCACCCACTAAAATAGAAATTATAGCCCAGAAAATTCATGATAGAAGGGCAAACAGCATAGGTATCTATAGAACTGTCTGCATTGAAGAAAAGACCATAAAAAAGACAAGAGGGATATTCTAGCAAGATAAATACCATGATTGTATCCTGTAAGTAAAGACTGTGAGCTCACACAACTAAAATAAAGGGCATAAAAACCCTCATTAATTGTTTTAGTGACTACACATGGAAAAGGAAAGCTCTAAGACCCCCTTCCAGTTGAGGTATCAGCAGAGTTAAAGTTATTAAAAAACTCCAATATATTTTAAGCAGTATGAAAACTGGAAGAAAAAGTACAGACCCATGCAACTTCTAAAAAAAATTTACTAAAGTCCCAAACCAAAAAGCAAAGTCTTTCTAGTTACCAATTGTGCAGTTCAGTGCACAGTCACTAAGACACAAAATTTACAACCTCAGATTCACACAAGTTTAGTATTTCATAGATACAAATGCAAATTCTACAATACTTAAATGTCAGGTTGCACATTAGGAAATTTCAATACCATAGGTAAGGCATTTGGTTTTTCTCACTGTAAACAGTGACTACATCAGAACTAATTGGCCATCAACAATAACAATAGAAGTTCTTTTTCCATGGAAGCTTGATCTTTCACATTTACATACACCAACGCATTATCTTCAATTTTTAAGACTACAGAAAGATCAATGGAAAGAGCTTCCAAAAAAGCAGATAATTTTCTGTGTCAGATGTCTGTATTTTATCATTTAGAGGCTTCACATCATCCATACAATATGAAATACCAGAGAGGCCAAATTAATATCTTGATTTCAAGTAGTTTTATACTAGAAGTTAGTCTGGCAATTTGGGCAAATACCCAAAAAGTATTCCAGGTTGCTGTATCACAGGTAAAAGTGAAAAACTCATTAAAAACCTCCTGTGGGGAGTTTTTTAACCATCCTAATCTTGCCAATATGATTCTAATTGAATTACTTAGCCCACCCCCATGATTTCCATAGGGAGATGCCCATTTCGGAGAACTATCAGTGGTATCAAGTGCAAGTGTTAAGTTTTTCTTCATGGATATTGGCAATTTGGAATTGAAATTACTTAAGCTTTAAAGAGCTGACAAACCGTGTTTTAAGCTACTTTGCCCAAAGAAGAACACAGAAAGTGCAAACTGTAATATGTCATCAGTTAAGTCAGTTTTAAAGTTTCCTTTCCAGAATCTACAGTGATATTTACAGATGCACAGTGACATTTAAAACAGATGCATTCAAGGAATCACAGGAAATCCAGGTTGGACAGGATTTCTGGAGATTATCTGGTCCAACCTGCTGAAAGCAGAACCTCAGACTAGTTGGCAACATTTAAGAAATGATAAATTGGGAACATATGAGTCATAATTAAAGTTTTATCAACATATCTATAAATGCAAACTTGCCTAACAGGCACTGCCAAGATAATTTAGTGTGTATAATAAAGCTGTGGCACAATGGTTCATATGCCCTGTAGAGAAGCTCATCAAGCCTTGGGCTACTCAAAGCTCCCTCCTTCCCTCTCACATCACTCGACAGGTGTGTGACAGGAATAAAGGAGGGAAGGAGGAAGGTCTGCAACATCTCAAGCAATGCATCTGCCCGTGTTAATCCTCTTGTTCATCATGCACATAATCTGGTAAATAAAGAGCTGATTTTGACTTACTTCCCCCAAAACATCTAGAATTTTCTGTGAGCTTTGAGGAGCTCAATATTCTACAGGGCTGCAGTTGCACTGGTTTGGATTATTATGAAATCTATAGGGTTTTCTTTAAGATGCTTTTAGTCTGTGTTATCTTGGTAAAGCTCCACGAAAATCTTTTGACATTAGATGAATTCAAAATTTCATTTATAACACTGACACCAGATCACACTTTTTCCTCCCCCCAGGTCGATAGCTTTGCAGAACTGTAAACTGCAAAATAACAAACTATCCCTTTGTTTTGGGGGTGGAGAACATCCAGGAACAATGAAAAGCCTGGGAAGGAAGAATGAGAAAGATTCATGTAACAGAATGGGAAATTCTTCAGCAGGGAAAAGCACCTAGAGCTTGTTGGAAATTTGCTAAAAAGCCCAAGTTCTGGATGACATTTACTTTTGCAGGCTCCCAAGAACCACAGCTTTTTTGGACCACAAGAACTGTAACATCACAAAGGTTTTGGAATTCCTGGCGATGTTCCATACCAATAACCATGGAATATACATAGATCATACTAAATCTGGCACAGGAAGAGAGAATTACCAATAACATAAGGGCAACAACACCATGAGAACAGGAAATTCTGTGTGAGGTAAAGATAAAACTGAGGAGCCTGAAGTTCATGCCTAGACACAAGTCCATTTTTTACTGTAGATACCTGTCCTGCCAAACGATAGCACAGCTGCAACATTATTTAACACATTCTGTATTAGGTTTCCACTATTTTATTACTATATAGATGTCTACATAACCAGCTTTCAATTGGTTACATTCCCTGAGAGAATAAGAGAAGAGGAAACCATCTGATTTTCATTAAGAACTATTTGAAAGATATCACATATAAAAACCATTACTCTCTCTTATGGATGAGAGCTCCAGTAACATCCAATACCTCCCCCAAGTATAAAACTTCCATTATGCTTTATTTTTGACCAATCAGAACAGAATAGTTTCATTTTCAAATAATTTACAGCTTAAATAGGACAGGTTGAAACCTAAGTACACTGACATGAAACTTCATACCGTGCATAGCATGCTTTGGACCAGAGAGAAGTTTCACCAAGGCCCAGAAGGCATCTTCTTCATTCATGAACATCAGAAGCAAAGCTGTGATCTGGCTCATTCCCTGGCAGTATCCAACTTCCTGAAAATCAGACAGTGGAAGTATTAAAATGCTGGAAACAAAAGCCTCATAGCCGTGAGCTTTTAGCTTTTCCTTGAGTTAGTGGAGGAAAGATAATGCCTGTCCTGATGGCAAAGTTTCCCACCAAACACACTTTGTATTTAAACATTAAAAATATTGATGGATAGAAGGGATGATGCACAGCCCTCCAACTGAAAAGTAACCTGAAAGTATTGATTTCTCATTAGAACTCCAGACTGATGAACAAAATCCTTGGTCAGTACTAATATTTTCAAGTTACTGTATCATCTTTTTGTTGAATGGATACATTCTCATTCAGTTGTAGTTTGGGGGTTTTTATGGAGGGTGAGAGTATCTGGCTTTGTTCTGGTTTACAGTCAGGGCACCACCTGATAAACACAGGGTTTTTCAAGAGTGACCTGTAACTATCAACTTGCTCAAGTTTAGCAGCCCAATAGCAAGCAACTATAATAAACCCAAAGAAAAAAATTATTGTTCCAAAACTGAACTTGAGTACTTCCTCTGCTATTAATTTTGAATTTTATAGCAGGAACCAGCTGTCACTATCATTCAGCTGCAAAGATAACCCCATCAATAAAGTATTTGTAAGGACAATTTCTTAATTGTTGAGTAAGTTCTTTCAGGTTTACAAGTTCTTAGCATAACTTTGTTCTAGAGATAAAACCAAAGCATAAGAACTGCTACACATTCAGAGGAAAAATACAGCACTAGAATATTCTCATCATTACACTTTGATAATTGATTTTAAACATAATTATTCATGCAACTTGAAAATACCAGTCCAGTGTTTTATAGGAGGTATAAAAGGTCAGACAGAAAGGTTACATTTCCTAGAACTTTGAAAATATCCAAACAAACCAGTATTTAATTCAAGTAACTGCTTTAATTTCTCTTTCCTCCTCTAAAGTTAACATGTTTTACATTGACTTCTAGGGAGAATGGAAGATGTACAGAAATGCTCAAAATGGGCCCAAGGAATAAAGGGACAGTTGCATTAAAACCACAGTTAAATGTTGCCATGAAGACATTTCTTTTTCTTCTATTTTTAGCATACAGACGAAAGACATTACAAAATGCATAAGCTTCTAACCCTTATATAGAGTCTGGAAACTCCACTCTAATAAATCCCCATTCAGGCCTGCAGCCAAGGCCAAGGGCTTATGTAAAGAAGATGCAACCTTTTAAACTAATTTCAAATTTTTAGAACCTTTCAAGTTATGAAATACACCTGTGGACTCCATGCATCTTTCTGCAGTATTTTCTTCCCCATCATTCAATTAAAGAGAGGCAGATAATATAATGGGGGGAAATATCAATCACATAACACTCCAGCACAACACAAATTCTCATTAGTCACAACCCTTGGCTTCAGCCAAATTGTAAGCATATTTCAGTCTGTCCAATAAAACTCATAATTCAGATGCTTTATTTTAACGTCAGCTCAAAATATGACAACAAATAATTTATTTCTATGTACTTCCAAAGGTCTCTGAAATGTCTGTTGGGTTTTTTTAGAGAGAAAGAGATGCAAGTTATTATTTTACAGCACATTCAGAGAAACCAGATTTAAGTGTGAAGGAACACAGCTTACCGTATTATATATGGAATATGCAGCTAAAACATGGAACAAAGATTGTTGCCTGGAGAAATAAGAGCAGAAAATAGAAAAAAAATATAGTATTATCTTTTGTAAAAACAGAAAACCATAGAAGTAGTGAACTGGATTTTGGAAATGTTTTCCCAATATAACTTGTCTAGCATTAAAGAACAGGATAAGCCACAGTTCACAATGATAAGCACTTCTGATTTCAAGCCTATTTTGTAATTAGCACCTTTATGATGTTTTACATGTTGAAATGTTTCAAAAACTATCAATGTACTTTAGAAGTGAGCGGTGGCACATCATCATTTTTACAGACAGGTAAAGTGAAACATTGCACGGGTGACATTTCAAACACTAATTTATTCTGAATGCCAAAATTTAAACTCCCCAAACCTGATTTCTGTGCTTGCAGAACACTAACAGCTGTTACTGATTCCAAACAGAGATGTAGAAGTGAAGATGTGAAATACACAAAGCAGCCACAAAGGTGTCTTAATCTTGGCACCAAAATTAAAGTCTGCTCTAGTGACTGCTACTGTCAAACTGCAGAAAAACATTATTAACTCTGGCTCAGCATCCTGTGCTCAGCCCTCTGTTGATCTCTGGGTACTTCAGAGCTACAATTACAAAGAGCTTTGTAGAGGTCCCTTGCTTTCTGTAAAACAGTCTTACTTGTGAAGGTAGCCAGACAAAAAAACCCAAAAACACCAAACCAGCACAACTCTGCTCTTTCTAAGCTTTACATGAAAGTAATAGTGGAGAGCTCTCAAAATCAACTTTCAAACTCACGGCTACTTTTTGTCACCTGTTCAGGAGAGAATCTGGATACCTGAATGCCTGCTTCCATCTACAAGTAAAACTGCTAAAATTTAACAGCAGAGTTCTGCATATCGTGCTTTTTCTGTCCAGTAAAATTTTCTCCCTGTTACTAATCAATGAATGGAAAGAGATATTAGCAGGGTAAAAAAGAAGAAAGCCTAAGCCGGAAAGTGCTTGATTTCTTTTGGGAAGAGGATTTATACTTGGAGAATTTTATCAAAACATCTACATTGTGGCATTTTGGTTTACCCTCTTGCACAACTGAAGTCTAGCCATTCTTCAGTAACCAAAGAAAAGTGTAACAAGGTACTAGACATTAAGCTGGAGCCTCATTTTACAATGACAAACAAACAAGTCCCCTGTGTGCACAGGAGCCTTTTGTACCCTCAGCTGACCATATGAAACTGAGTGTAGGAGCTCAATCAGTTCCATACACAGAATAAAGGTGATTTCAGTATTATTTACACTTGATGGTAGCACTGCAGACCTGTAAAAGAATGAACCTTCAAAGACATACAGTCTACTTAAAAGTCAATCAAGCAATTGACTTACCACAGAGACTTTATTTCATTGCTATGTGAAATGATTTCTGAATTTTTCATCGAGGCATTGCTGGAAATGCATAATATATGTACAGTAATTCTGAGATCTATTCCAAGTGTGAAATTGCTTTAGGCAGCCAAAGGCTTTCCTGTGGACTCTGAGGGCATGGTTACAACAGCCACAGGGACTGGAGCTGGCTCTGCTTGTGTTAACCCCAAACTGACGAGGCAATGAGCTTCTGCTGACACCTAAAATGTGTGCACAGAACAAAGAGAGGCCTGAGCAGCACAGACACTGCCAGCCCTGCACAAATGGATCTGAACTGCACTGGCTGCACGGAACCATCTCAGCCTGGGAACCTCTGCTCTGTGTTCCTTCCTTACAGCCATCAGAGAAATTCTCCTAATTTAGGATTTTTCCACAAAATATCTAGAGTAATAATGTAAGAAAATGTTTCTTTTATTATCACAAAGTCCACAGCTCTCAAATACCACTTTTTGAGAACAGCAGACCACCATAAAATCTGCCTTGGCAAGAAAAGGAGATTAAAAACTGAATACAGACACAGAAGGGGTAAAATACCCTCTTCTGCTCAGCAGGGTGCTGATGCTGCAAGCGAGCAACAATACTGATGTTTCTATCCCACTTTTTTCACTATGAAACATTTTTAAGGATGACAGCTGCCTAATATTCCTCATCTAGTGGCTGCAAAAAATAACGAAACAAAACATTTTGAAGAAATCCAAAAAGCATTATGGATTACGCCACAGTTGTAAATCATTAAATGCTTACATACAAAAACACTGCTTTATTTGGTTCTGAATTAGATACTGGGTGAAGGAGAATACAAAATACAGAGGAAGGCAAAAATCTCTGGGAATAAAGTTGACTTACTTCACACCATATCTGTCCCGAAACATGATGTGGTCTCTGTACGTCCGGTTCACATCAAGGTCAATTTGCCGAATATCTGGTGAAGACCCTCGTGCTTGATACTTCAATTTCTGGGAGCACAGTAAAGAACAGAAGTTTAAAATTGTGAACTCTAAAAAAAGCAGAAACCTGCTTGACTGTACAGCTATACTGAATTAATTGTCATCATGTGATTTAAAACAATACAGAAGAGCAACTCACAAGATTAACAGTTTTAACTTCCAAAATAAGCATATACATGTACAAATTCTATGAGTCAGAAACAGTTCACAGAGTAAAGATGTAGAAAGACCAATCCCATAATACGCTTTTTTTTTTTTTTGACAGATCATTCCCCACCCATATTTAAGGCTGTTTCAGCATTTCAAATTTCTTATTGCCTTTTCTCAGGCAGGCACAGCACTAGAGAAAGACAGAAAATTAATTTTGCTACTCAGGAAGAAGAACCTGAGATGCAAGTGCTCTAGAATAGACTTTAAGCAAATGATTTAGTGTGGTTTTCATACTTTTCCTCTAGCAGAAGTAATAGCTACATAGCTGCCAGTTATTATCTAAATATAGATAATGGACATTTCTCTAATAATTTCCTCTGTCTCTCTGTTCTAATCTAATTTAGCTGTAGAATATGTCTACTTTAGCACTTGCTTTAGTGTTTTATAATTAAATCCATTTCTGTAATTGAATACTTAGGAAACCTGCACAGGTTTAGACTGACACCTTATTTTTTGCAATAATTTTCTCTTGACTCTCATTCATTTATTCTCACTTCTGTCCATAAAACTTGAGTTTGCAAGACCCTGGATTCAATATGGTATATCTAAAACATTACTTCTGACTATTATACCACAGACAGTCAAAAGGCAAAACTCTATGGACTCTGGTTGCAGGAAAACAAGACTAAAGTTAAAAATTGTAATAACAAAGGGAACAATAACATACATCAAGTCTGTTGACCCACAGCCAGAATTACTTGTAAGTCATTGAACCAACACAACACTAACCACAATCTCAGCTATGTGCACCTTTCAGTATGATTTCAATTAAATACCCAGAATGATTTGTCCCCCAGAGAGACAGAAAAGCAGCAAAGGGAAAATTTCTAGTTCTAAAACACCTATGATTTGATGGAATACAGGAAAAGAAGCACCCTGAGCCCTTGCAATCATGGCAGCTTCACTTGTGAAGAGAACAGAAAGGTTCCAAAACTTTGAGAAACAGGAAGGACAGAAGGTTAAGAACTGGTCTTTCCCCTGCAAAGAGAACTGAAAGAAGCTGTTTGACCTACAATAAACATGCATTATCTTTTTGACTTTAAGGTGTGCAGTTTGTAAGTGACACTTGCAGTGAGCAATGTTAATATCACTTCAGGAAATAGGAAAATAGAGAGCAGCAAGATGAGCATATCACAAATAAATCAGATAATGGGGGAAGAAACTCTTTCTACTTCTTTATCTGAACTACAAACATTTCTTTGTTTTGCACTGAGCATTGGATGACATTAATAATTCCCAAAGATTATTTAACCTATTTTTAAATGCTTCTAATTTTACTTGGCATTCTTTCCCATAACTACATTATTCAGCATAACCTCTGTTTCACCTCCTCTGGATCTCCCACTAGTCTTACTGAGCAACTTAAACAAAACACAATAGTCAGAAAAAGCAGTCTGTTAGACTGAAGAGCAAGAAACAGGAAGTTAACAGACACCAAAATTTAGGTAACATCAATACCAACACCAGTCTTCTTTCACAAGACTCTTCATCTACTCAGACTCAGTCTCAGCTCAGCTTTTGAATACACAGCCTTTCTCCTAGCTAAAACAAGTAATAGAGTGCAATGTAATTTCTTTTTTTTTTAACATTGCGTAACAGCAAAGGCTTAATAAAGCCTGTAGCTTTAGTATCTGATTTTTAAAATTAAGTAGAAATTCTACAAACTCACATTATAAAAGTCTTTCATTTCTTCTTTCATCTTAGGAACATCAAGCAACAAAGACCAGACTTGCCCTCTGAACTGCCGTGGGATTCCTTTATAAATTCTCCTATGAAACTGCAAAAGAAGAAAAGAAGGTAAAAATGCAGCACAATTTACAATGTTCTGAATAAATGGAAAAGTGATGCACAGCACGCTAAAGATAAAAATTGAATTATACCAAGCACCCTAGCAAAGTGATGACCTGCTGGGGACAAAGTGCTCCAGTTTGTTTTGAGAAACGTGTCCAGCAATTTGGGACCTCTTGACAGAATCCAGGGGCACAGGGACAAAACAGACACACAAGCCAAACCAACCCAGGTGATGTTGTCAATCCAGGACTTTTGCATGTAGGATGGTTTATCAAAATTTTATCACCTTTGCTCAGCAAATTTTGTAATTTAGATCCCAAAAATCAGATTCTGAGCAACACTATTTCAGGATAAGCCACAAATAACTCACTGTAATTACAGTCTATAAATAGAAATAGCAAAATGCAAGCAGCAAAATCACAAAGCTTTAAAAATTATCAGTAAAAACCCAAGAGCAGAACTGATTTTTTAATTCTTCTAAAATTGTGACAATATGCTCAAATGTATGTATGCAAGGAAATAAACTGAAACCACAAAAAAATCAGAATGTGCCATTTCTAAAGCTGACAGGTCTCACATTCTACTTCTAAACTAATAATTAGTCTCCTACATGCATATTAAAACATTTGGGGAAAAAAAACAAACAACAAAAGAACACAAAAAGGTGTTATCTTTTGAACAAATATCTAAGACAAGGAAAATTAAAAAGACAACTCTGACACAGAAAATGAACCCTTCTGAAGTTACATTTTTTACCATTATTTTAATGATTACACAGGGAGACAATTAGGTTTAAAAGAGAACAAACCACACACAACCACTCTCCAAGTTTTTCTTTATGTTTATCCTACAATGGAAGTTAGAACTTAAAAATTTCAGTTGACAAAGCTACCACTTCTTTTAAACATTTTTATAAAAGTTATGTTTGCAGTAAGAAATATTTTAAAAGCAATGTCCTCCTCAAAGACAGGATTGTTTTTTCTTTTCACATATTTCCCATCTCCAGTTTTGGAAAATGAATGAATGCCTCGTTGCAGTGTATTTCCAAACCTCCTGCCATTTGGAATATATTGGCTCTTTAAAGGTGTCTTTAATGCCAGCAAGGATTTGTGTCTGGATTGCAGAATCTGTAACTCTTGCACAAGTAAGGTTATGAGTTTCTTCCCTGGTTCCTTTTTTAAATGAAAAACATAAACTTGTATAAGATACAACAGCCATCCTGGAGGCTGTCCACAAAAAAATGTTGTTCTTCATAAGGAAAACTTTGCTGCATTAATACTAAGAATGCTAAAGCAGCAACACTTGTAATGTGAGCACAGCTGTGCCAGTACAGTTTCATCTACAAAATGAACAACATTCAGAGCTCCAAAGCAGCCTTCTCTACAGGTGGATACCCTGAGTTCAGATCACACAGGATTTCAGTATGTGTCAAGCCAGACACAAGGGACCTGCTTGTGGGAGAGAAGAAAATTCAGTCTTTTAAAGCCAAACACTCCCAGCTGCAGTGGAGTCATCCTAGGAAAAGATTAGCCTGTCTACTGGAAAGCAGAATGAGACAGATTTGCAATATCTTTTCTGAAAATTTGGAAGAAAACTATGGGGAAAAAAATTCAGTGATCTATGTCCTCAGTGACAGGTATTTATTCCTCAGACCCATGACCAGCAACAGAGTACCTTCACAACAAACATTTTTGTCAGCTAATTCTAATGTTTTAACTAATTTTCAAATACCTCCAAGAACAAAAGGTTATTAATGAAGACAACTGGTTGAAGAATAAATTCTCAAGACTACTGTTATTGTATAAATTAATATTTTGGGATATGGTCAGGTGGATATAAAAGGCCAGAAATAAGCCTTAATAATAATAGCTTCTTATCCAAACAGAACTAAAACTATTCAAGCCATCCATCCAAAGCGTGGAGTTATTCAGGAGTTTTCTGGAAAATAGAACTGAAGGACAAGAGCCTCCAGTTTCAGAGGAGACCCTGGCATTTACAATTTTCCCATTTTCTGCACTGCCTAGGTTGAAACAGCCAAATGCTAGAAGAGCCCTTAAAGCGGTAAGCAAAAACTGAGACAGGGAACTGCAGAAGGGCTTTTCACAGAAAAGTTCGAAAAGTGAGTTGCAAATATAACTTTTAAAAGAGCAGAAAGGACAGAGAGGTGAACAGCGTCATCAGCCCACTACAGCTAAGCAAAAAAAAAAAACCCACAAAACAGGAGGAAAGCAAACATTTTTAGTAGCTACATTCTGAATTGTTGCACTACCTGACAGAATAAACCCAAATAACATTCACAGCTTCTTGCAAACCATTTTAGATCAGTGTTCAGCTGACTCTGCTGTTCCATCTATTCTTTTATTGAGGCAGAGAAAAAGCTCTCAGTCATCCCAAGTCATTACCAGATCCTGCCTCCAGACTCAGCAGAACACAAGAGCAAAGACTTCCACTATCTGATACAGAACAGAGAAATGTCACTCATGGCATAGGCTCCACTGCACAAATAAGAACATGGAAACGAGTGTAAAAAATTTCATGGAATGAAATGGAAAACTGAGAGGAGTGGCTGACACACCAAGAGGGTTGTGCTGCCATCCAGAGTGATGTGAACAAGCTGGAGAAATGAGCTGCCAGGACCCTCACAGAGTTCAACAAGGAGAGGTGCAAAGCCCTGCACCTGGGAATGAACAATCTCAGGCACCAGAACATTCTAGGGGTCACCAGCCAGAAAACTGCTCAGGAGAAAAGGACCAGGGGGTCCTGGTGGACACCAAGTTGAGCAGGAGCCAGCACAGTGTACATGTGAAGCAAAGATGACCAATGGTATCCTGGGCTACATCAGACAAAAGTATTCCCAGCATGGGTGATCCTTTCCCTCTGCTCAGCACGGTGAGTCCAGTTCTGGGCTCCTCAACACAGGACAAATATGAACACATTGCAAAGGGCTACAGAGATGATGGGACTGACCATCTGTGCCATGAGGAGAGGCTGAGAGGGCTGGGACTGTTCAGCTGGGAGCAAAGGAGACTCAGTGGGATCTCATCAATTTGGTTTTTACACAACCCTGAAGGAAGAGTGCAAAAAAGAGAGAGCCAGGCTCTGTCCACTGGTGCCCAGTCACACAACCAGAGGCAATGGGCACAAACTGAAACACTGGAGAGTCCCTTTGAACATCAGGAAACATTTTTTCACTGTGAAGGTGACAGAGCACTGGCACAGGTCACCCAGTCAGGCTGTGCTGTCTCCAACCTTGGAAATCTCAAAAGCCATCAGGACATGGTCCTGGACAGCTGGAGGTGGCCCTGCTCGAGCAGGGGGCTGGACCAGGTGACCTCCAGAGGCTCCTTCCAACCCCAGCCTTTCTGTGACCCTGTGCAATGCTGCAGTTTTATGAAAATGACACAGCTATGCTGCATCCTGGGGAGTGGTGGAGGGGGCACTCACACACACTTCACTGCAAAATTAATTTCTGATAATCATTCCTTCACCAAACAGTTAAAGAAAATATAAATGAGCACACTGATTATTAAGTAGCTGAATGTCTTTACCATAAGCACCTTACTAGTGCCCTCTGCTGTCTTCTGTGTCCTTATGTAATACCAGGTAAAAATCTGTTGAGAAATGCTGCTTGTATCTCTATACTTGCAGAACTCCCATCTACTTTTCTGCTCTCTCTGAATTAATAATTAAAACAGAAAATAGAAAATTCAGGAAGTTACTTTTCTGCTTCTGAGAAGATGAAATACTGAGTTAATTTTAAATAATTTGTGAAGATTAAGGCATTCTTAAGATAATCGCTCAAAACAAAACATAAATACATAAACTCAGAGTTCAGATAAAAACACACATCTATGAAAACATTCATCACTCAAAGAATGGGGTTATAGGACCTGGGAGAGAAAAAAGAAAGTGATCCTTGATACCTGTAATTATATGAACACAGGATACATAAAAAATACAGGTTTATGTTCTGTATCACATTTATGCTGATATTCAGCAGTCAAACTCTTGCAATTATTAATAAGATTGTTGATCCTGAAGTAGGTAGGAGAAAATGACACTAAATTAAGCCCTATCACTTGGGAATTCGAAGGAGCTTCTCATGCAAAAATAAATTGGACCTATAAATACACTGAATATATAGAATGAACTAAAACCTTTATAGAGCAAGAAGACAAAAAAAAATTAGCTATCATCTCAATGAAGGCCATGATGTCCAACATGCAAAAACACCTGGAAAACATACAACCTCCCCTTCCTTGCCTGGCCCCCATCTCTCCAGCTCATAAACCCAACTGGTTTCTGGACAAGAAATGAGGCCACTGTCACACAGCATTGGCCTGAAGAGTGGCAACTGGCACCATTGCTCCTGCAAGATATAAAGCTGCTTTTCTTGAAAATAAAAACATTCTCAGCTGTCACGAAGAGCTGCACAAGCAGCAAAGGGGCTCTGTCACCTCAAAAAGAATCAGTGATGAGAAGCCTAAGAATTAAAATGTGAAGTCTCACAAGAAAGTATATTTATAATGAAAAGAAAATATATTTATAAAGGCTGCTGCCTTTAGAGGGTCTCCAGCTTCTGTGGGCTGCATAAAAGGAAGAAAAAATGCAAATAAAAGAGCTGCTCCATCTCATTCAAAAATCTCAGGAATGCAAAGAGGGTTCTTCATTAAGGCTCTGTGTTCAGACTCCAAACGAACTGGAGACTTGATTATTACACTGTGTGTGAATGCCAGAACAGCTGGAAATGGCAGCTACCCTGATTGTTTCTCTTCTTCCTTTCCCCCTCAATTTAGGCAACTTCAATCACAGATAGATGAAGGCAGACAGAGAAAGACAGAAATACTTTGGTGGAAATACTCAAATGGGAATACAACATATAACAGTTTTATTTAATCTTTCCTGAAAGTTATGATCATACTAAGCCAGGAAGGATTTACTATCTGTGGGTGGTTGATTGTACCCTGAACTACTAAGCAGTAGAATACAAATAGGAAATAAAAGCACAAACTAGAGAAGGACCACAGTGAAACACAAACTTTGCTGCTCTGTGACACTTCCTGCATAAGAAATGACTGATGGGGAGATGAAAGCTTTATTTTGACAAATATCAATCAAGCAAAGACACAAGGGCAGTTATACACTTCAGAGTGGTATGTGTAAGAACCATGGCAACTCCACTGAAAGAGATGCCTAAATAACCACACAGGAATCAAGGAGTTTTATACACAAAGAGCAAGACAGACAAAAGCACCAGGAGGCCTTTATGAATGAATAGGAGTGCCTGGACAATCAGAGACATAAAAAGGAAGCCTGTGGTGGGGAAGCAAGGACAGGCCGTTTGGAGGAATACAGAGAGACCATCCGAGCAGCCAGGGATCAGGTTAGAGAGCTAAAGCCCTGGTGAGATCAAATCTGGCCAGGGACATAAAGGCAACAAGAAAACCTCCCACATAAGGAGGAAATTCTTCCCTGTGAGGGTGGTGAAACGCTGGCACAGGTTCCCAGAGAAGCTGTGGCTGTCCCATCCCAGGAAGTGTCCAAGTTGGACAGGGCTCTGAGGAGGGTGGCCCTGCCCATGGCAGGGGGCTGGAACTCGATGATCAATAAGATCCCTTCCACCCCAGGCCATTCTGTGATTCTACACTGTTATGGAGCTGTACATGGGCACATTTCTGGTGTCAATATTCTTCCATCTTTTTCCAGTTCCTCGTAGTCATACGTTCCTAATCTCTATTCCCCATTCCATCTTTTTTTACAACATTTAGCACAAGAGTTCTAATGGGAAAACAGTGTGAAGTTCCCAGATGCCTCATCTACCTCTTGAGATATTCTTCAGCAGTCAAGGCCAGGAGAAGATGTAAACGGAAGCATCTCAAATGCACCCACCCACCAGTGTGTTCATTTTCTCGTTAATTCTCTTTGTGAAGTTATGACAGGAAAAAAAAAAGGCTGAGAAGCAGCCTATAGGCAGCTCTGCAAGAGCACTGAATGAAAACTCTAGTTTGCAATTAAGCACATGAAAGTTTGGGATAATGAAATCAAATATATGGATTCATTTACATGTGTACAGTATGAATAGATTCCTTCAAGGCAAAGTTCTCTTGGCTGTAAATTATGAAGGCTCATCACAGACTGTCCAAAGTCCTGTATTTTGTACATATATCCCTGCTGTATACCTGGGACCATCACTTTCTCTGAGTCTCCCTTCCTACCTATTTAAGAGCACAACTGTGTCTCAGATATGCCATTGTCCAAAACCAAGCCATCACTACAATTATAATCTATAATCCTATAACATCATTACTGTTGTTGTTGCTGCAATGTTCCCTTCAGTGCTGTTTCTAAAGAACACTAATTTCAGGAGCAGCCTGACTGCACAGAAACCATGGCAGTGTCAGGTGATTGGAGTCTTGTAACACACAGGCTGCTCATTTTCTTTAGAGTTTGTTCCTCTAACATTAATCACTTTATCCAGTCAAGTGAAGACAGAAAACAAGACTCAGGAACTGTTCCTGCAACTATTCCTTCCATGCTTCAAGAGTGTGAGCTTGGAAAGCTGGTGCATTCTTCCAAAGCACTTCCAGATAAAAACCGGATTTAATTGTGAGTTTTGCACAACTCTGAGAACATGGCCAGGCTTTCCATAAAGAGCAGTGACAAATAATGTTTGGCCTTCCACTGGATGCTCAGGAGGAGGAGGCAGCTGATTCTTTATTCTGTATCTTCTGGTTCACTTAGCACATAAGATGTGAATAGAATAAGGAAAACACCCTTGTTTTTTAAATCTCATGTGCTTCACTAGAGTTCAACAATGAGTGAACATTTTTCCTAGCCTCAAGTGAAGTTCATCCCTTTATGAACATATTGAATTATTCCAGCCACTATTTATAGTTCAGCCTATAATTTGTTACATGAACTGAAACTCTTTCTGTTCAGCTGATCTGCTAGACCTTCTGCATGCCTGGTGAAGAGGGGATTATTTATTTAAGTCAGTGTCTCGTGGACTGATGTCACCAATGGCTGAAGAGCACAACCACTGCAGCTTAGATGACATGTGGTTACTGTGTTACCTGAAGGTCATATTTAACATTCTCTTTGCAAACAAAGTAGCTGCTACAGAGTTTTTTTATTGTCCCTTTGACTTGGGAATATATTTGATCTTAAAATCTCCTTACTGCAACATTAACAAAACAAAGTCACAACAGTTAAGATCTCCAGTTTCTCCTCCCAGAGGAAATGGCAGGACAGAAAGTAGGATTATAAGAAAAACTTGGACAACAAGTAATTATTCTTCATGCATTCATATCATATTTTAAGGAAAGGGACTTTCTAGATTCTGAGATATGTCCTGAAAGAGATCAACCAGTGGCTTTGGTTTTTAACAAAAAAAGTCTCAAAAACAGATGTAGCAAGCAGACAGGATGAGCAAAGGATATGCCAAGTATCTTTCTCCCTCTACTTTATTTGCAGCATCTCAGCTCTCTGCTCATCAGGCTAACAAGTATTCTGGTCTCAATCCCTCTCTTCTAAGGTCTCAATTTTGCATAGATAATTTACTTAAGCAGAAGGCCAGTAAGGGAGTGAGGCCATTCCAGGCCAGTCATTGGGCAGGAACCTGGGATGTGTAACAGCTGCCCTTGGTCCTCTGCACAGTACAGCAGCACCAAAAAATACCAACAGAAGCCCCAACAGAAAATGCAAGTCTTAAGCTGTGTCAAAGAGAAGAAGGAATCTGAATTCAGGATTCTGTGCATTATTCACCAAACAGCCACAAGATCAGATATGAAAGCCCCCCCAGGACCCAGTGTTGGGAATACGGCCTCTCCAGCAAGTTATTTTTCCAGCTGAAATCCTTCCATAATTTTAAGATGACCAAGACCACAATTCCAGCAAATAAACTGTTCATATGGAAGTCCCCACCTAGCTTTTAAAGCAAGTAAAAGTATTTAGCATTTAATGGCACACCTGACATAACCCACTGTGTCCACAGTTTATTCTTCACACGTGAACATACCAAACACAATTCCTCCATTTGATTACCAATTTTGTTGGGTAATTACAATTGGGTTATTAGGTATTATTGAATTTTGGAAGAACAAAAAAACCTTATTCTTCCAGTTTGGGGTTTGGGTTTGTTTCTTTTCAGGTATCAAACACAGGAAATCTAATTTCAGGGTATACATTCTTTCCAAAGTGACAGCCAATGAAAAAAGCATGCAGAATTTTACCTTTTCACTATTCTTGTATTTTTCCCAGCTTTTCAGCATCTTAAGCCATTTTGTAGTTCTTTCAATTTCAAGGTGCTTTTGCTGAAAAGAAATTAGAAATTTTTAGTATCTCCAAAACGAATGCATTAAAAGTTGTTTATGTTTTTTTAAAAATAACAAGAAAAAGTTTAAGAGAGCATTATGAACTTTTTACTCAGTCATCTGAGAACAGCAAAGAATAACACCAGTTCATTTAAAACATCCAAAAAACCAGCCAACCAAAAACAAAGCAGAAACTCTTATTTTCAGAACTATGCAGGAATTGTATTTTGTAAGAGGAGGTTAAGTGCAAGATTTCTTGAAGTTTCTTTCTTACATATTTGGCAAGTTAAAAAAACCAAACAACAACATCAACTTCCATTCGTTTTTATACTCAGTTTTCAGGCAAATAATTTCTGCTGCAAGCCACTTAAAAGTTAGTTGTTCTGAAATGATCTTCTTTCCCCAGACTTGCCCTAAACATAATTAGCTTCTGTTTGCAAGTGATCACACAAATCATCCCTTCTTAAAAGGCACAGAGTTAAAAAGGAACAAAAACAAGTGCATGTAAGAGTGACAGCACAGGAGCAGAAGTGGGAATAAGCTTTAATTTTTAGACATTAAAAGCTAGAAATCCTTGCCATAATTGTCTTCCTTGGCATGGCACATTTTCACCTGAATTACCCTGTAACTCAACGTCAAAGATTTCTTCTGAAGATCTATTTGCTTAAACTTTATTACTGAGAAGACTATTTCAGTAACAAGTGATAGACTGAGAATCAAACCCAAAACAAACCCCATCTTCTCAAAATAAATGGTTACATTATGTAGTCTCACAAGCACAGCCCTACCAGCTTAGAAACTGCTTTTCTATCTACGAAAATATTGCTAGAGTTGCCATCAGCTTCTTGAATTTGGGAACCAAACAAGCACTTGGAATCAGCCATCTTAGTCCATGGAATTCCAGGCTCTTTGGCACTACACGACCAAACATCTGTATTTTGTTAGCTCCAATGATAACACTTTCAGCACTTATTTTTACAGCCCAGCTTTACATTTTGCAAAGTCTCTGATTATACTACAAAGTTAATAGTTAGCTGTGTGTTTTTTACATGTTTTTAATGAGACTATTTCAGCTCTCTCAATAAAGCTTTGGAGCAGAAGATCCAGACTGGAAAGGTTAAAGCAGAAAAATGTATGTGTGTGGCTACTGCTTTCTTTTCAGAGTTGAATATAAAGAAGTATTTAGTTTTATTGTAAAGGACAGCCCCTCTACCTCCAACTTCAAATCTAGGGATTAATAAAGACAGGAAGGATATTCATATGGTTAGTGATTCAATCTGGTAACAATGTAAAAGTTTAATTTTAAAGCTCCGCTGGATACTGAAAAGTTATTAACACTTTCATTAAGTATTTATAAAGTCAATTGCATCCAAAATGTTGGGGGAAATATAAAAGGAAATTATTACTTATTGTCCCAATAGAATCCCGATTTTATTTCTAGCTTTTACCCATCAGAATTTGTGCATTCTTTTTTTTGCTATCAATGCAATAAAATGCATTTAATTCTTTAACTGCCTGAACTTTTTTAATGCAGGAGCCCAAAGCCTTCCATTACCAGAAGAATAACTCGATGAAGTTTGGGTCCACCCCAAATATGATAAGTCCACAAAATGTCCTGGAAATAAGTTGGTTTGGGTTTTCAAGTTATTTTTGTTTGAATTCAAATTCTGCAAGCCTGACACAAGTACAAAAATATTATGGGGAAAAGAAGTGCCTCTACTCTTTTAACCTTATCTATCTACTCATGTTGCTATCAACTGCCCACATTCCTGTTCAGGTTCTGGCTGTGTTGGGTAATAGCTCAAATACTTGCCTTTTAAATTTTTTTTAAAAGACATTTCTTAAGACTTACGTTAGAGGACAAGGCTAGAAAAATTGTTGCTCCCAAGATTTCACAACACTGTTTCTGATTCTCCTTCACACTTGTAACCCCTTTAAGAAATCAGCATTTTCAACATCTCTTAAAGCAGCTGTTCTTTAGGCATAGTTTAAGCTGCACGAATAACAGGAAGTCAGGAAAGGTCTCTGCCCTCAACAGGTTTTTCATGTAATTGGTAAGAAAAATAAAACCCTATCTGCTTCCACAGACTTTATGTTTGTATGTTTGATCTGCTTTCAAGATTTTTGGTCTTTTGAGCCAGAAGCTCACTTCAATTGTATATTTGGTCAAGCTTTTATGTCTTTGTGTGAATTTACCCATTCTCAAGTGATGCTACTGTAGCCAAAATAGCAATTACTTTTGTGTTCATTTGTTGAAAACTTTTAGCTATTTCTTTCCCTATCTGAATTATGTTCACTTTCATGTCTAACAGGTACAACACTGAAAACACAGACAGATCTGAGGCAGCTCATTGCAGAGAAGAAGAATGCTGCTGCTGCTCTTTCAGACAAGTCCCATGTAGCTGTCACCAAAAAAAGGGGAAAAAAATCCATTTATCTGTCTTCTGAGTGCATTTTACACTTTGAAGCATTTTTGCCATTGGGTGTAACAAAACCCCTAATTGAAGCAGAGCTGGTTTCCGTCTCTCATGTCAGTAAACAATGCCCTAGTGAAAGCAAAAAAATCATGAAGTTGGCAAGCAGCCCTCTCGTGTGCAGCACTCCACCTTCCCAGAGAGCTGAGGCTTAAAGCAATGCTTCAGCAAAAGCCTCAGACAAAACCAAAACTTGCTGAACTGCTCCCCAGGAGAATTTATAATCAAGTAAACCAATGACAAAACCTAACTGAAAATGATTTAAAAACATTTCATAGAATTCAAAATCAGAGTCAGACAGACTATAGATCTACTGAGGTCAGTTCTCCTTTCCTCCTCCAGAAAATCTTTCCTCCCCTTGTTTTATCTGAGATGTGCTGGATGATTCATCTCAATGTTAAGAAGTTCATAACATAGGACAATGATTTGACACATTTAAGGCATCAAACGTGCAGCAATGTAAATGAAGCACCAAAAAGAGTAATTACTGTTAATGCAGAGTAAAAGTGTTATGACCAAAAATACAAATACACATACAGGAATCCCAGCCTAAGGGGTTTTTTTGTATCTGAAGAACAGATTCCGAATTCACAAGGATATCAACCTTTTACGTAAGTTGCAAATGAAACGAAAACTTGAGTTAGGAATATTTTTTAAAATTCACAGGGCAAAAGGAAAGCATAAACAACTCTGCTGAGTAAGTGACTTCAAAAGATATTGTACAGAAAGCTTTTAATCTTAGCCTATATTAACATAACACAGTAATCCTTATGAATGGTATCTTGAAAATTGCAAAGATTCGAATCCTGCTGACAGAAGCCAGATAAAGCTCAGACCAGCAGAGGTCAGGATACCATCAGGAGTGTAACCAGCAGTCGAATGCAGGAGCATCACTGGATGATTATAAAAACACACTGGACTTGCAATTTAACACTGACTCCATAAATACAGTTCCTGTGCTGACACTTTGAGACAGCACGAATACAATTTGGGACAGAGAACCGAGACACTATTTCCCCCAAATAATTTAAGGCTAACTACAAAGCTACAGTGAATCAGAGCTTCAAAACACATCTACCACAGTAGCTGCAAGCTGCTTAACATTTCTGCTCAGAGACTCACCCCCCGCTGTGTCCTTCTGATGGAAATGAAATTATACATTACACTCACTGTGTTATTAAATGTAATGAAACATGGCAGGAAAATGCAGCTATTTCAGAGTGTGTATGCAAATTCACACATGAACCAAGGCAAAACAAAAGAGACAAGTTCTACTCTTTTGCAGTAAGCATCTCTAACTAGCTTCAGTATATAATTGAAGTACAAAATAATTCATTTTCAGAAGCACTGCTGGTCTGAACACTCAAGGAGCTGAGCTGCCTTGAAGTAAGTCATTACATCCTCTTTCCATGTATTCTACTGATTTGTGCAGCCAAGAGGGCTAACTTAAACTTACAGCTTTAAATACTTGATCTTAATTTTTCTGGTTTGATTTGGTCTTGGAGGTAACAACAGACCCAACCAACCAAGGGGAAATACCAACAGTAACTAGGCCCAGACAAGCAGAAATTCAGTTCCCCATTATTTTTCCACATTCCCAACGCATCAGTTGCCAAACTAATTCTCCAGAACCCTCCAGCAGCAGAAGGATTTTTGGACGAGGACCCACAGCAGCTGCCAACAGGACCTGCACATCCAGAATACAGCCAGCTCAGCATCTCAGCATTACTGTAGTGGCAGCAGGATATTTGTCACCATTTCCCAAAGGAGCAGAGCAGCCCAGGCTCCCCAGGACGCAGTGCACACCTCGGTGTCAGTGCCACCACCTCACTCACATCATCCATCCCCCTGCACAGCTGATGGCAGCTCCTGGCACAGGACCTCAGCTTTCACTCTTTCAGGGCAGAGCTGGGTGTGAGCTCTTAAGTAGCTCCATTCCCTTCACTAGGCAAAGTAACAGGAGAGGAATATTCACTGCCATTGGCAGGAGCAAATGTAAGAACGACCGGGCACCCAGAGATCTGTGACAGTTTTTGGTACTTAGAACGCGCTTCTTTGGAAATGCAAATCACTAAAATCTTTCATCAACACATTTCACAATGATTTATATTTTTAAAAGCTGTAAATCTCTAAATGTTTACTTACTAGTAAAAAAACCTGGAGGACAGTGGACTTACCTTTTCTATCATCACATCATGGACTGGAAGCTCCTCTGGACTGAAAACAAAGACAAAGTTTGTATTAGTATTGGTTGATCTTGTCACGAAATCACTTCTGTATAGGCTCTTACAAGTCAGCACTTACACCAGCAATTTGTAGTGTCAAGTGAATGAGAATTCTGAACTGTAAAGAACAACTAATATTTTAAGTACAGAACTAGGATTTTAGATCAGAGTAGCTGCATAACTTAAGAAAAACATTGCATAACTTAAGAAAATTATTTTTCTTCTGTGAAAGCACCCTATGCTGTACTACTGAACTGAAACCCAAATGATATTTGTTTTCTTTGACAATACTATTGTTTGCTGACTTACCAACAAAAAAAAGTGCATCTTCCTTTACTACTGTGCTCAAGGAAAGTCACTGAGACTTTGCTTGACTTGAGAGAGTTAATTCACATGTTCTCAAAACTACAAATCTCACTCTAAGTAACAAGCAGGAAAAAATGAGTTTTGTTACTAGGTACATAAGTAATACTAAAATTTGTCTTTTCACTTCTTACCCTAAGCTTAAAAAGGCAGTTTAGGAATTGAAAGCTTGAAAAGCAACCTTTGGCTTTATACATCTTCAGACTTTCCATTACTTTCATTTCATTCTGAGGCCTCTGACTTCTGTTTTTCTTAGCAAATAAATTTGTGCTTTTCCTCTCAAAAGTAACTGGACCACCTTGATGCCAAGTGAGCCTGACTTCTGCAGCTTCTGAAAACACAGCAGCTCAACTGTAAAAAGCAACTCCCTTCTGCTCTAGAGGTCAGATAAATAACACACCCAACAAAACCATGTTTAAAAGGGATTAAAACACAGGAAATAAGTGAAATACTTTTCAAAATTCCTACTGAGTATTGATATTATGAAAAAAAACCCCTCATACCTACATCATTATAGCTTTCTACAGAGAAGCTATTAAACACCAGTATTTTAGACCTGTATCCAGTTTGTGCACGGGTGACCTTGGGGAAGGCTATAGAAGTTAAGGCTGCAGTCAGTGTAAAGAACACTGATGCAAAACACTTGAATTGTATTCAATCTCATTTCTTTTATAAGATGCTGTTTCAGATTCAGAAGTTATATTTGAATAAAGAAATACAGGATAAAGAAATACATTTGAACCACTTCATCTAATGGAAAAACTTGCTCCCATCAACACCTTCACAGAGACCACAAACAAGTCAAAGTTTCCAGTCCACAGCTCAGAAACTAACTTTAAAACCAAGACTGTTGCTTTTGAGCAGCATTGCAAAAACCATAATTCGTTAGTTTAGAGGCACATAACAAATATCTGAAAGTTTTCTTGCTGAACAACAACATAATTAAAAAACCTCTACCAACATCTAACACACTAGAAACAACCTCCAGTCAGTGCTATTTGAAAATGTTAACAAAATTTTAGTATTGTGCACACTCTCATATAACTAAATCAGCTGAAAGAAGGCCCTTTGTATATCAAATACCACCTAGAAATTCAGCTTATTTGAAGTGGAAAGAAAAAGCAAAGCAGAAGAAACAATTTCATTTAATACAATCTGCTTGGGGAGGCTGTTGTTTGGTTTGATGCACAAAGACTGCTTGGCCTTCTCACATCACTTAGAATTTCCAATTCTTCAGTGACAGTTGCAGGCCCTCCACGAGCCTCCCACAGCAGCCTCGTTCTTCACAGCCCTTCAGAGCAGCTGGCTGTGCACACAGCACACAACAAACTCCTTTTCCTCCAGCGCTGCCTGCAGTGTGCAAGGCAAGGATCTGACAGCTCCGCATCCCCACGGACTCACTCCGGCCACAGCAGCTCCTCTGCTGAACTGGGACCCCTTGACAGCTTATCTTCACACTGCCATGGGAACTGACCACGTGAAAGATTAATCGAATCTTAGTTTTCACAAAGGGAAAATGAGTTTTAGTAATTTATTAAGGAATTGCTCTCTGCTAATTTTGCGAGTTATCATCAACGTACAAAAAAATGAATGGCTGAACGTCCTGAGTAGGAAAAGGCAGCCCTCATGTCCTGGGAAGCAGACACTAAATCATTCCAACATCAAATTTATGCTCAGATTGCTCTTTTTTTTTTTTTGAGCTGCACAGCTCTGCACTAATACCACAGAGCTACAGTGACATTCCACAGCAGCACATGAGGGCAGCCCCCTGTTTTTATTCCTTCCCCAAGTCACTGCTGAGCACCTGGCAAACAGCACAGGAGCCAAACGAATTGCCCGGGGCTGCTCAGTAACTCACTGGACATGCAGGAGCTCCTGAAGATCTCCCTCTCCACTAACAGGATGGCATCGACTGTGCCCCTATATTCACATATGTAAAGACTAAAACCTACCCTGCAAGGACTGAAGGAACAGCACTGCAGGCACACAAACTCTCTCAAGCCCCTAAAGGTATTTTAAATAAATGTATTTCCATTTAGTGTGATTTCTATGCAGAAGAACCTTAGAGATTTTCTTTTATTAGGCAGGATCAGACACAAAATCAATTAATGTCAATGAATCTGTTATTTTATTGTACCTTCTATGTTTTCTTTATAATGATGCATCTTTCCCTTCCTTCCTCGGCCAAGCCAATCTAATATTGTTACACCTTAATTATTTCTTTTTAAAATTCATCTTCTCCAACCATTCTCGGTCTATTTAAACTTGCATTTCTCCATGGCTTTTATCTTCATACTTCACCAAATAATAATGGGAAATAGTAAACAGTACCAACATAATATAGCTATAGCCTGCCCTAAGATGACTGTTTTCCTTTAATAGCTCAAGTAATATTCATTTAGGGGATCCAGAGACAACAGAACTGATTAACATAATTAGCTTGGAACCATACAATCCTGGATATCCAAAAGGGGAGTCACAGGGATGCTTTTAACTGAAGTCATGAAAATAAGGTCTCACTTAGCAGAAACGAAATCTTAACAGTCTGCTGTCCCCACTAAAGTAAAATCTGAATAGGTAAAGTCAGCTGTTGAGCCAGGAATTAACTATCACCACCCCTGGTCTGTGCCTTGCCATGCAGACAAGAGCTCCCAGCTGCAGCCACACAGGATTCCAACAGCAGCTCAGGGCTCTGCCTGTCACTGCCAAGCTCCTCTGGAGTTACAGCACTAAGGGAAAGGGATGAAGATCTTGTCTCCAGGTCTAGGAGCTGCAATCCACTGCAAGATCAAATCCCAACTACAGTAAGGTGCCTGATGGTCATCCTACTATGAGGCTCCTCAAAGATATCTCACTGGAAGAAATATATAAATATTGGATTCCAAGGTCTGACTGGAACTTAGGATCTCTACCCATGGTCCTCACTGGTGGTGATCTCCAGCATTAGCCCAAAGCCACCTTCCCATCTTGCAGCCTGGACTACTTCCACCTTCTGGTGAGATGGTCTCTAAGGTCAAAGACAAGACTTCATTTATTAGACCTGATTGAAAGTGCCTTTTTTTATTATGTTATAAGGGATGAAGGGATCTTACACCTTTAAATCCACCATACTGGCTAACACAGGTTTTCATGTTTCAAGAAAACTTAAAAAAAAAAAAAAATGCCTGAACATCTGACACTTCAGAATATTAAATATGCAGATATATGGTTTTGACCATTACAGCATGTGTTGTAATTAGCCTCCTTGAGTAACAGTGGTCATTTTCAAATAAATTAAAAAGTCTAAGGCTTAACAAGGTTACAGTTCCCCACCCACTGCTGCTGTCTAAACCAGTACTCTTTAAATAGCACTTTGATGTATTTGTTCAATGCAAATACAAAAAAAGACTTTATTATATTACACACTCAAAAGATTTATTCTTTTCCTACATTTGTATTTAAATCCCAAGTATGCTCCCCACTGACTCAAATCACAGCATTTTCCTGTTTCTAGTTTGGCTTAAGTTTAAGAAATGTAAAGCCTCCTCTGTCCTGTGCAGCTTCAGTTGAGGATGGAAGATATTTAGTGCAATGATCAACCTTGGTATACACCAGTTACCCCAGAACTCTGAATTCCAGAGGATCAATTCATTACTGCACAATTACAAATTGGACAAGGCCTGACAACAAAATTTTCAATGAAGAAAAAAAAAAAAAAAACAGCAGAAATTGACCACAATAAAACCAAAAACACTACAAAGCTGAATTGCCTAAAGAATTGTAATGTTCAAAATCTTTTGATTTGCTGTACTTTTATTTCTCAATTTCTATTTCAGAACTGGCCAGGGCACTGTTAAGAACTTTGGGGCTTATTATCATGAAACATTTGTGGGAACAACTGTATCAGTTATTAGATCACACACAAGTGATCTAATTAAAAACTCAATTACATTCAATATTTCTATATTACTGAACCCAGTGTAACAGAGATATTTAAAAAATTTAATCTTCATAAAGCCTGCAAAGCAGTACCTGTGCAAAAGGTTTTCTCAAGCTATGACTCAATTATATTCTCATGCTCTCCTCTAAGTGTAATAGCATCACCTTGTATCACTGCACAGAGTTTCATTTTAAATGAAAAGTATTTCAAAATCTTATCTGGCATCACATTTTAAATATAATGTGGAAGAAATTTCTTGCAGAACATTGATCTTCATGGTCTCACTGACTTAATCATGAAGAAACAAATGCTGTGCACTCTGCTTGTCATTTGTGATGCCCTTTTAAGTGTTTAAATCCACAAAGAAAACATACTTGCTATTTCCCAGGAGACTTATCATGAAGAAAGTATTCTTAAAACTTTCTTAAACCAGTCATTTGTATCATTTTGAAACCTTCATGATCAAGAAATTTGTGAGGAAACATCCACAAAAACATTAGTAAGGTATAAAACTCAAAACCAAAAGTGACCTGAAATAAATCTGGAAGAGTGATCATGCACAGGGGTAAGGTATGAGAAGGGAAGAATTCACTTGACAGGTGTCTGAACACAAAGAGCTTTAGTACAAATGGATTTGTCTTGCTGTACAATATGAAACTCAGATTGCTCAAGTAACAACTTGCACCATTACAGTATCCAGATATATTAGG